AACATTCTTTATCTTTCCTTAGTAGATTTGAGATGACACAAGATAGGTATAGTGAACTACATGATCAACAGAGATAATTGAATCTGGAAAACAGAACAGGATTGAACTTCTGAGTAGTTTTTCAGTGCTGTGGTCTAGTGTCATGTATTCTAGCAAAGGTGTAATGGGAATTCCAGAAGATGGTATGAAGATGGAATGGTAGAAAAATATTATTTGGGAAAACTTAACAAATTTAATAAATAACATTAATCTACGGATCAAGGAAGCTTAATAAAGTTCAAGGATAATTGTAAATTGAATTCACACTTAAGACATATCATTTCAAAACTGGTGAAAGACAAAGAGAACATCCCGAAAGCAGCAACAAAAAACAGCTGTGGAAACAATGGAGGGCAGAAATTTGTGCAATAACGTACTCGAACTTCCCTATTATCCCAAATCCTGATAAGAATGTTAGGATGCCTTAGATTTACTTTTACTTTGCACTGAGGCATGTATTTTATTTGAATAGACATTTGCTGTCATTGTTTTCCTTGAGTTAATAATTCTTTGTTCTGTTTTTTCCCCCACTGTTACCTCTGAGAGGGAAACACGCCCGCTCACACTGCTGGTTCTCTCAGTGGTATGCAATTTTAAGTGTTCTATGTTTCTTTGAGTAATGAGTTGCCAACTTAAAGGCTACTAGCATTTAAGCCCATGACCTAGATTTGTGTCCTAGTTAAGAAAAATGAGATCAAGAAGATGAGAATCAGATATTTTTGGTTTTTGTGTTGAGACCCAGATTCTGCAGTATAGTATGTAGAACTTCCCATCATAATAACAGGATTAAATTACTGGTTATAAGAAAAAAAGAAGACATGAGAAATATCTATTATATTTACACTTCATGCCTCTTATCTTCTGTGATGTATAAAGGGATGGCAAGAGTTGTTCTTACCTACACATAGTATATTTTCCTGGCATGGTCTTCAGCTCATTTAGATAATGCATATAGGTATTTATATAATATTTATCTATTTATAGTTACATGAGTACATAGATATAAATGTACTATATAAATATACAGATGCCTACATATGATATATATATGATATATAAATATCATTTGAATTTCTTACTAGAAGTTTAATCTTAATCTTATTAATCATTAACCCAGGATTATTACTTAAAATATTAATCTCTTAGCCAGATAAAATATAAACTGAAGATAAGTAAGCAGAGGCCAGTAATATCAAGTAGACAAGCAGTGAATTTTAAGGGTAGCAGAAGCACATTATAGAAAGAGATGTTCATGAACAATGGTAGTGTTTACAAAAAGACGGGAGAGCTAGCTAATGTATTTGAATTCAAGGTGTTAATAAACTTTTCTAGATAGGAACAAATTATTATTGAAGAAAAGTAAATACTGATATAATCTTGTTTTTGTTGCAAAGCATTTTAAAACCCATGTGACCATTGCCAAACATATTAATTGGATGAAGTCTGAAAGAAAGCCTAGGCAGGGGCCACTCATGATTTATTTGGAATATTGTACTCTGTTCAATTTTCTTTTCACATTTTTGACAAAAGCAGCTCCAAAAGATAGAGAAGTCATCTACAGGAAATACTGCCACTATTGTTTATCCTTAGCTTCCCCTCACTAAATACACTCAATATAGGTAAGAAAAAAGCAGCTGCTGGGCTTTCTGAGTCGCCTTATCCACTATGACATTTGGTTTCCCTCCCTCTCTCTCTCTCATATTCTTCTTTGTGTGTTGATACCAAAGCTTAAATTCAGGGCCTTTTCCTCTTGCTCAGTCTTTTTGCTCACAGCTTGTTCTCTTCACTTCTGTAATTTTGCTGGTTAATTTGATATAGTCTCCAGGACTTTGTGCCCAGGCTGGCTTTGAACTGTTAAGAGTATCTCAACTTGAGCAGCTGGGATTATAGGTCTGAGTCACCAGCACCTGGCTCTGATCGAAACTTCGAAGTTACTGCCCTATTAATTCCAATACTGATTGTTTAGTCCTAGTTTTTATTTGCATTCAAATAAAATAAAATAAATTCAGCTAATTCTATCCCAACCCCACCCATCTCATCAAGTTACCTGGTTCTGTTTTTCACATTTGTACCTTGAATATTATGACTGTATTTGTGTACCCTTCCTCTCTCCATTCATCTGGCCCTCCTCTCAAGCGTGTTTCAGCTCCTGGCATTCATTTTGTTAAATTAAGACACTGTTTACTTGTTAAGTTTTTCACAGGAGTTACAACATTGAAGTCCTCCCTTGTGTATAAGAAACTTTAGTCAATTTGTGAATAGGTGTGTGTAGCCCTATGTATGTTCATGTGTTTTTATAATTTAGATCTAACTTCCACATATGAGAGCCCATACTCCATTTGCCTTTGAGTCTGACTTACTTCACTTAGCATGTTTTTCCCAAGCCCATCCATCTCCCTATAAGCGATAAATTATTTTTTCTGATGATTTGAGTAGAATTCAAATCTCTCTCTTTCTCTCTCTCCATATCTATCATAGTTTCTTAATCCATTTATCCATTTTAAGGCATCTGAGTTGTTTCCACAAATTATCTATGGTGAATAGTGCAACATTGTACATGTATGTGAAAGTATCTTTACTATAATCTAACTTGCATTTTCTGGAGAAGTGCCCGAGAGTGGTATTGATGGATCATAGGGTAGTTCGTTCTTTCTTTCTTTTTTAATGAAATAAGGCACAATGTTTAATAAGGCAAAATTCACATGGAAGATTAGTTAATAGAAGATTACAATGTTTTGATGTCTTGGAGGACATAGGAAGTACTCAGGTAGTTTACATATTCTTTTTAAAGAATTTACCATTATAAGGTAACATTTACATTTTTTTTTCTTGTTTGATGACTTAAAAAATCTCTTGAAGAAAATTGTTTGGAAGTGTGTGTTTTGGAAAGACACTGAATGGATTGATGGATTAATTAGTCAATGTCTCCTCATAGCACATTTTTTCTAATAGAGGCAGCTCTCTCTGATGCACTTGCTCTGACATTGCATCTGACATTGTAAGAAGGCCTTCACCAAATGATTATCAGCTGCCATCCCAATGTTCTTATTTTCTCTAGCCTTCTTCCCCTGTCCTTACAAACCACCATGTCTTCAGTGTTCAGGTATAACAACAGAAAATAGAGTAGGACAATGGGTGAGAGGGTGGTTTCATAAAAGGAAATATTTCCTATTTGTCTCTCAGCATTCATTGAAGGATCAAAGTTCTGAGTTCCTTCCATAGTTCTGTACTTCAGGAATCAAGACTTCCCTTTGTGACCAGAACCCATCTTTTAAATTGAATTTGTCCCTTGAGAACTCCATTTCCCTCTCTGTTGTGCCAGCATGAAGTCTTTCCCATCTCTTACTATTTTCTAAAAAAGAAAAGGAAAGAAAAGAAAAAAATAACTAAGGACACAGGGTAGTTCTATACAGGTTTTTGAGGAATCTCCAAACATCCTTTCATAGTGGTTGCACTAGTTTACAGTCTCATAAGTAGTATAATAAGGTTACTTTCCTCTTACATTCCCACAAGCATTCGTTATTGTTTGGATTCTTGTTGGCCATTCTTACTAGAGTGAGATGGAATCTCAATGAGAGAATAAGGGAAGGGGTGACATTAGTCAAGATACATTGTATTCATAAAATGATCCATTGAATTGGAACTTCTTTTTTTTTTGAATTGGAACTTCTTTGTACAAGTACTTATAGGTAATAAAAGGTGAAAAGTTTAAGAAAGGAAATTAGCTTTTCTAGAATAGTAAGATTTGCTTAATAGTTCTGTAGAATTAGGCACAGTTAAATAAGGCACTTATTTTAAGTCTTTTAATCATTATAATAACCCTATCATATAATAACTATGATTTTACTCCCCCAAAAGAAACTTAGGGTTACAAAAGTTAAGTGGTTTGCCTAAGGTTTGCTAGTTTACAGCAGATATTTGTAATGCATAGTAAACCATAAAATTCTCCAGTCTACAATGAAATCATTAAAATTTATACAGTTTGGCCATTATACATAATAAAGGTGAACAAATTTCAAAATAATGAGAAAAAAACTTAAAATTTTCATTGAGATAATTGGCTAATGGTTGAGATAAGTAGCTAATGGTTGAAGACATTAACTGTGTAATAAATATATAGCATAGTATTTAATTGAGAATTTTTATTATACTTAATATCCATACTGATTCTTGTTGATTAAAATATAAATAATTGGAGACCATATAATGACTGTAAGTGATGAAAAGAGAAGTCTTTTAATTTAATTGGAACTTATTAAAAATGAAATAACCATTTTGAGGAATAAATAATGCTATCCTAATACAGAAAAGCAAGAGTAGTTTGTTGCTTATGATGAAGAAAATAATTGCTGTTCTCATTACTGTAAGAAATGCCATTTTCATTATTTAACTTGAATATGAAATATTTGCTCTCTATATTATGAAATCTGTTTTCTTTAAATGCTTGTAGTGGGGCTTAACTCAAGAACTTGCATTGTGTTTTTCTTATAGCAGATGCTCTTCTATGTGAACAATACTTCCATTTCCAGCTTTTTGTTAGTCAATTGGAGATAAGAGTCTCATATATTTATCTGCCTGGGGTGGCTTGGAATCTTGATCCTCAGATCTCAGCCTCCTGAGTAGCTGGGGTTATAGGCATGAGCGGTCATTCACCAGTGCTTAGCATAGTAAAATTTTTTTAAAATAAAGAATTTGGTCCTGAATTTCATAATTCTGTTAATTTTTGACTTTTGACAAGTGAAGTTATGTTTTTCCTCACAAGAATGTAGATTTGGGTGATCTTCATTAAAATTTTTATTATGATAATTAATGAAAGGCTTCATTAAAATTTTTATTATGATAATGAAAGGCTTTTGTTTTTTCTACTTATAATGTTGTTGAGTGTGAATGTCTATGCAATATCTACTTGGATATTTTTCAAGTATAGTATATTTATACTTATCTGCTAACATTTTTTCTAGGTTTTACCAGCCCCTGGCAGTTATGAAGTTCATAAATCATATGAGATGTCACAAATTAAGCGTAAATACATGCCACCTCGAAGCAGTATAGCTGAAAAAAATCAGTCCTCCTTTCTTAGTGGAACTCCTCGATACCAAGAAAAAACAACGGAGGGACCAGGTAAGTGTAGATTATTCTTTAAAGTTTATAGGGAACAATCCAGAGTTTCCATATTAAAATACATACTTAGAAACAGTTACATTGACCACACCTCTCTAAGAGAATAGGACAAGCAAAACAAAAGCCCCAAACCTGTGAAACAAAGTATTTTATGAAAAGATTTAATATATTCTTTCTTACTTTTACCAAAAGGAAGTTTTACTAGTAATACTAAAAATACTGAAGATATTTGGGATTCATCCTATTAAACAAAAACCTAGAAGTTTTTAATTAATTAATTATTTTTATCTTTTGCCAGTTGTGGGGCTTGAACTCTGGGCCTGGGTGCTGTCCCTGAGCTCTTCAACTCAAGGTATGTGCTCTACCACTTGAGCCACAATGCCACTTCTGGTTTTCTGGTGGCTAATTAGAGATAAGAGTTTCATGGACTTTCCTGTCCAGGCTGGCTTTGAACCATGATCCTCAGATCTCAGCCTCCTGAATAGCTAGGGTTATAGGTGTGAGCCACCAGTGCCTGGTTTAAGCCAGAAGTGTAAACATGCAAAATTTGTAAGAGAGACACTTTGTCCTGACTTGGCCAAATCAGTACCATACAAGAAAATTATGACCCTTACATAGAATAATTTTTATTTTCTCAGATATTAAAAAAGCAAGTAATTGAAGAAGGTAAATGTTTACTTGAGTCCTGACACTGGGGGCTCACACCTGTAATCCAAGCTACTCAGGAGGCTGTGATTTGAGGATTGTGGTTTGAAGCCAGCCTGGGCATGAAAATCCATGAGAATCTTATCCCTGTTACCACCAAAAGAGCTGAAAGTAGAGCTGTGGCTCAAGTAGTAATATACTAGCACAGAGCAAAACAACAAACAACAAATAGAAACAACTCAGGGACAGTGCCCAGGCCTTGAGTTCGAGCCCTAGGACTGGCACACATACACTGAGAGGGATCTAAAATTCTGCAAGTAATTTTGATTTTTCAAATTAAGATTAATTCAATTATTAGTATTCTTGGTCTAAAAATGAATGTAACAATTTTCTATGATAATGAAGATAAATCAATTAGTATAGTACAAGGAAACTAGATAGAGAAGAGGGACAAAATAGTTTGCAACAACCATTTGCAGAAGTATTACTACTAAAAAACCAAATTGCTAAAATGAATCTTAAGAGAATCTGAAGAAAAACATGATAAAAACAATCTTTTCCCCAGAGTTTTAAATGACAAACGAAAATCAAAACAAAAGAGAGAATACACCTGTAAAGAGCAAATACTACTCTTTGGAGAGCCTGAGACCCATAAAGACTTGCTTTATTTTTTATCTTTTAAGAATAGATTAGAATTTTCAGCTACAAAATTCATTTTCAGTTGAAATTTGATTCTGCTTATTTTCATTTTCTTCTCTTGTATTAGTCTACCATTATTGATTTATCTGGGTGGAGCTGTATAAAGCTTGTGCTTGTGGTTATACCTAAGTATATGGTCACTCAGAAATGGTATAGGGAAATTATCTCTTTGAAGTCGTAGCACCACGCACAGCCAATTATATAAGTGAATGTCCATATCAGAGGCTCTTGAAATAGATGGAGTTTTGTAGTTGTTTCCTGAAGTTTTCTTTCTCTGCCTCTAATCTCTCTGTAAAAAGTTGGGTAGACAGAATATGTGTGTAATTGGTGTTCTAACACATCCTTACTTCAGTATTTAGTCCATGGCAAGCAAATTTGCTGTTTCATTAATTTCTACTTTTCAGAGATGAGGTAATATTTATTTTTTGACTCTCATAAGGATATAAAAATTGACTAACACTATATTTTCAACATTTTCAGAGTCCCTAAACCTCCTTAGAAGTACAAAATCTTATAAGTGAAACATGTCTCTTTATGCTAAGCCAGTGCTACATTAGAGAAGACTTGGGGAGATGATAAGCATGTTTTCATTATAGACAGTGATTATTTGAAATTAAAGACATGTGGTAGTCAAAGTCACTATTCAAATACAGAAGAAATGGCTTGCTAAAGAAAGAGGTTATTAACATTTATTAACCAATGGTTATTGTTAATATCAGAAATTTATCAAATTTGTCATCCTGAATCTTAAAACCATCTAAACTTCAAAGGAATGATAACACAGATCCCACATTCCTCTATAATCAATACTTTAGAAAAAACAATAGGGACTTCTTATGCTATTACCTGATACCATGATGTATGAAATTTGATTTCTTCTGACATATGTAGTTATTACAGTAATTATAAAATTGCTCATTGTTTTAAATTTAATCTACTGTCTTAAGCTATTCAGTCCAAAATATACATCTCACATAGACTTAATATAAGTTCCTAAGGAAATTTAATTATATCTAGGTTTCATTTTAGTAAGTGAAAATTAACTTTCATTTGTACTAACTCTGTGAAGTCAATTCAGTAAAGGAAGGAGAATATTGAAATGTAATATTATCAACTGTCTAAATTAATTCCTAATTTTTAATTGATTTTTTTACTTAGGTTATTAGATTTTGTTATTGATCAGTATGATAGATTTTTATTCTTTTTAATGTACATGCATGAATACAGGTTTTTCTCTATAAAGTGAAAATATTTTCAGTTGTTAATATCTAATTTGTTAATAGTCAAATACTTTGATTAAAATCATCATTAATAATGAGGTGATTTGTGGTATTTTATTTTTATTCTTTTTTTGTTGTTGTTGTTGGTCACAGGGCTTGAACTCTGGGCCTGGGCATTGTCCCTGAGCTCTTCAGTTCAAGGCGAGTGCTGTACCACTTGAACCATAGTGCTACTTCAGGTTTTCTGGTGGTTAGAGAGTCTCATGGACTTTCCTGCCTGGGCTGGCTTTGAACTGTGATCCTCAGATCTTAGCCTCCTGAGTAGCTAGGATTACAGGTGTGCCACTGGTACCTGGCTGATTTGGGTATTTTCTGTGTAGTGCTTATGAAAGTTATCCTTTAGTATCCTACATTTTTACAAATAAAGTAGGAAGAATCTACCCTATTTGTCATTTTACCATTGTAATTTTATTTCATTTTAATATAAATTAAAACACCTTTCCTGTTAAATGTAAATTTCCTTATTTATAAAATAAAATGATTTTTAGTACTTTGTGTACATATACATGTACAGATAAATGAAATCGTGAGACTTAATTTATGCATTATGATATGCATACTTGTTATTTGAGTCCCTTACTTAATAGAATTTTAAAAAATGCATGTTATTATCTTTGTATCCAGATATAGAATAATTAGTAAATTAAATGGATTACTAGATAGATTTGTAGATAAAATTGTTTAAGAACAGAAGTTGGTAAATATAAGAACATCTTATAATAGGATATTTATTCACTTGTTCAACATTTTATTTATCTCATTATTTTTTGTTTATGACAACATTTTATAGCCTTGGATTTATTTCAAATTACTTTAGAACTTTAACAAAAGAAAATTTTTCTTTGACTGCAAGTATGTAAAAAGGACCAAAATAAAACTCATTTTCATTAGTCTAAATTAAAGAGGGAAATAGTGTATTTGCAATCAGTATGCTGTATACTATTAAATGTTGTGTAACCAATAAGAACACATTAGAATCATTTAATGAAGAAATGATTAAATGAAGTGTATCACATTATAAAGCAATCTCCTTTTATTACACCAACTTTTATTCATGGATATGTAAATGATATTGTGAATGATCCAACTCAGGTAAAGTGAAATTATTAAGTGGAAAAGTACTCACACATCCCCTATATTGTTCTTTTTTAGACATTTAGAGAGAAAATGTTCAGTAAATTTCAAAAGCAAATACAGAGGAAAATTGGGGGCCTTCATTCAATCAAGGTTAAAGTACAAATTTCTGTCAAGGTTTCTTGAGGCTAACTTTACAGAATGTTTCAAATATACATGTTACTTGACCTCAACATTCTACTTTTTGGGATTATCCACATTTAAGCATCAATGATATCTCAAAAAACATTAATAATGAAACTTTAAAGAATCCTTAATGGAAAGAAAAAAAATGTAGTTCATTTTGATACATCAATTATTATTAGTAATATTGTATATTTTATAAATCTGTGAAATCTTGGTAAAAAGATAGGATTCATCTATTTAACTGATTGACAAATTAGAGAGCCTCTTCATATCAAGTACTCATTTAATGATATGTAATTCAACAGTGAACAAAACAAATATTCCTATTCCTTAGCGTTTAGGTATCAGAGATATTCAGTAAATAGCTGAAGAACTACATGAAGAGATTAACAGAAGAAAGAGGAAGGCAGGCAGGAAGTTAGGAGTTTAAAAGTGCCATGGACAACAATGCTTGATAGGAAATGTATTCATTACCTTGCTCATGTAACTGTAACCCCTCTGTACAGTATTTTTACAATAAAAACTAATTAAAAAATGCCTTGGAGTCAAAGCCCAGCACAATAAGTACCAGAAATGGGTACTTGCAAGAAGGGAGGATGTGGCCATAAGGAGCTGGGTAGAAGAAAGAGAGGGTAAGGTGGGAGGAGAGAATTAATTGTATGTATCACCGAATTGAGAAATCCATGGGAGTGAGTGGGTGAAGATGTTGAAGTGATGATACAGATCAAGATGTAGTGTATACATAAACTCCTTTGTCAAATGGCAGAAATTCAGTGCATAACCTAAAATTTAGAAATGTGAGGGAAAGGGAGTGGATTGGGAAGAGTGGGTGAGAAGGTTGAAAAGGGTGACATTGATCTAGATGTACTGTCTTCATAAACTGCGTTGGTGAATGGCAACTCCTTTGTACATGTACTTAAAGGTAATAAAACATTCAAAAACTGCCATGGAGAAAAGTAGAAAAATTGGATTGAGTTATCAGTTATTAGAGAAGGGCTCACTGAGAAAATAACACCTGAGCAGCTATGTAAGGCTTATTAGTACTTCATTTTTATTTTGCTTTCCTATTTTAAATTTATTTGCTCTATATGAACACACGTTGTCTTACAGTAAATA